CAGGCTTCCTGTAGTTGCGTCAAGTGGGGGCTACTGTTTGTTGCAGTGTGCGGGCTTCAATAATTGTGGCATGCAGGCTCAGTAGTTGTGGCTCTTGGGCTCTAGAGCGCAGGATCAGTAGTTGTGGCACACGGGCTCACTTGCTCCATGGCATGTGGGATCTTCCCGGACCAGGGCTCAAACCCGTGTCCCCTGCATTGGCAGGCAGATTTTTAACCACTGCACCACCAAGGAAGTCTTGTGAAGAGTGTTTAAGGTGTCTAGATTCATTTTTTGCATGTGGCTGTCCAATTGTTCCAGCCCCATTTGTTGAAGACTATCTTTTCCACTGTATTGCCCTTGCTTGTTTGTCAAATATCAGTTGATTGTATTTGTGTGGGTTTGTTTCTGGGTGCTCTATCAACCTATTTGTCTATTCTTATTCCAGTACCAGGCTAATTTGATTACTGTAGCTTTATAGTTAAGTCTCAAAGGCCGGCTGACTTCATTCTTCCCTTTTAACACTGTGTTGGCTATTCTGGGTCTTTTTCCTCTGCCTATAAACTTTAGAATAATTTTGTTGATATCCACAAAACAACCTGCTGGGATTTTATTTTATTTATTTTTGGCTGTGTTGGGTCTTTGTTGCTGCGCGCGGGCTTTCTCTAGTTGCGTTGAGCGAGGGTTGCTCTTCGTTGTGGTGGGCAGGCTTCTCACTGCGGTGGCTTCTTGTTGCAGAGCACGGGCTCTAGGTGTGCGGGCCTCAGTAGTTGTGGCACGTGTGCTCAGTATTTGTGGCTCGTGGGCTCTAGAGTGCAGGCTCAGTAGTTGTGGCACACGGGCTTAGTTGCTCTGAGGCACGTGGGATATTCCTGGACCAGGGCTCAAACCTGTGTCTCCTGCATTGGCAGGCAGGTTCTTAACCACTGCACCACCAGGGAGGCACTATCTGCTAGGATTTTGATTGGGATTACGAATCTAAAGGTCAAGTTGAGATCAGACATCCTGACATTGAGTCTTCCCATTCATGGCTGTGGAATATCCGTTTTAGTTCTTTGATTTCTTTCATCAAGAATTCTGTAGTTTTACCCATATAGGTCTTTTAGATATTTTGTTAGATTTATACCTATTTCATTTTTTCAGTTCTAATGTAAATGTTAAGTGTTTAAACTTTCAAATTCCAGTTGTTCGTATATAAGGAAGCAACTGACATTTGTATCATTAACCTTATACCTTGCAACCTTGCTATAACTGCTTATTAGTTGCATCTTTTTATTTGGGGGGGGGTCAGTTCTTTTGGATTTTCTATAAGACAATTATGTCCTCCTCTGTGAACAGTCATTTGTTTTCCCAATCTGTATACCTGTTATTTCCTTTTCCTGTCCTATTTCATTAGCATGCTTTTATCTGTGGGGATATTATTCTGCTCCTTTCTTGTAACTGTTTGGAATTTGACTATGGTACTTTCTGTTACCCATTTTTATGGGTAAATAAAGGGAAGCATGATTTCTTTCTAGTTTCAAGGTTTTACAGCACATTTTTTTTGTGTGTGTAAAATATTAAAATACGGACTGTGCAAACAATAGCAGTTGACATTCAGCAGAACAATTTATTATTTTACAAATTTATTTATTTATATTATTTTTGGCTGTGTTGGGTCTTCGTTGCTGTGTGTGGGCTTTCTCTAGTTGCAGCGAGCGGGGGCTACTCTTCGTTGCGGTGCATAGGCTTCTCATTGCGGTGGCTTTTCTTGTTGTGGAGCATGGGCTCTAGGTGAGTGGGCTTCAGTAGTTGTGGCACATGGGCTCAGTAGTTGTGGCTCCTGGGCTCTGGAGCACAGGCTTAGTAGTTACGGCACACGAGCTTAGTTGCTCTGTGGCATGTGGGATCTTCCCAGACCAGGGCTTGAACCCATGTCCCCTGTGCTGGCAGGCGGATTCTTAACCACTGCGCCACCAGGGAAGCCCCAGCAGAACAACTGTTTCTCTCAGGAGTTAAAGAACAAGGTAAGTTATTTAACACTTTTATGGACAATCCTAGTTTCACTCATTCAAAATACTTTATTTAATGTGATCCTCCACCTCTCCTGCTCAATTTGGATTCTATCAGGAGTCTTCTTTTCAGTGTGGAGCTCTGTCTTGGGAGCTTTGCTGTTTAGAATTGTCTTGGGCCCAGACTGCTCCAGCCCCTTCAGACTTACCCAAGCACCTTTGCCCGCACTGCAAATCCCTTCTAGTTTGACTGTTGTTCTCAAATTGGCTCGCTGAACTTCCAAGTGAGTGCTCGTTTGGAGTTCTGAGACCCATCAGACACACCACTGCTTCCTCTGGAACAGAATGTGATACCATGAAGGTCTTGTGGCTATTGGTGTTTTCAGGCTCATGGGTATGTGTAATTTTCCTATAAAGTTGCCCAAGGTTTTGTATCTTAGAGTAAGTTTTGAATGTAGGAGCAGGGAAAAGTTAGAAGGGAATACCATCTCCTTCAATAACTATGCTTTTTCTCCAAGCTGTTTGCTTTATTCATCTTCAGCACAGGAACCTTTCTGTCTCTGAGCCTCATAGCAGGTTATGAAGGCTGTGCTGATGAACTGATAATCAGTGTAGTTTCAAAGTAAATGGCCTACTCCATTTGGACAATAGTGCATTTTTTTCTTCAGGGTGACCTTTAGTAAACAGAGAACATGCACCATCAAAATGATGCCTGAAGTCTAAAAAGCCCAGACTGCTTTTAAAGGCAAGAACTGGTGTGATATACTTTTCCTGCTAGTTAAGTGATTTCTAGTCAGTTTCAAAGCATCTCTAGCTATCTCTTTTTGTTTCCTGGGTAAACTGCAAAATTTCCAAGACTGTCAGTTGGAGGCTGCCATTTAGAAGAGAGAAATCTTGGACACATTATATCCTCTGAAGCTAATACAAAATTATAGAATGGGAATAATACACCTACCTTAACATATTCTAAGGATGAATGAGACAACCAATGACATAAATGGAAGAGCCTGGTTAACTGTGAAGTTGTATACAAGGTGCACTTGCTTATTTCTTTAATACAGTTCAGCTTCTAATATTTATATCATATCGAAAGCAACGTACCAAGTAATAGAGAAGGAGGCTGTCTTATCTTCATATTCCCAGCACCTTACATATAGCCTAGCACTCAGTAGCTCTTTAGTAAAGGATTATAGCCTGATCTTAATCATAAAATGGTGAAGGAAGATCAGTCTGTATTCCTGACCCCATTATGGACAAAACAACACCAAGAGCACAGTCTCCTGAATGTGGGTCCATCTTTGCTCTCTTCAAGTAAGGACAGCGTTAGGAAAACCAGGCAAGCCAAGGTCACAGAACTGGACAAAGAAGTTCTCAACTTATGATTATTATGGTTAAGAATTTTATTATCAAAATTATTACATCTCTTGTGAAAGTTCAAATGTTACAGCAAGGTGTAAACACTCCACTTGAGAAAGAAGTGATACTTCTTCCCTTCCAAGAGTCCCCCCCACCCCCCGCCCCCACCCCCCCCAGAGGTCTGGTCTTGACAGCACCCTGCCCACACAGAGTGGCTGGGGTCTCTGCACGTGCCAGGCAGGGTGAGGGCTGCCTGCCCGCTGGCCTCTCCCCTCGGTCAACAGCCAAGGGGAGAATGCAAACCCCAGCCCAAATGGAGAGACATTTACATACGTTTTATATAATATACAAAGAAACCAGCATCCCAGGCAACATGATTTCCACTCCCAACGCTCTCCCAGACTGATGGGTTTGTGGGGGAAACAAAAAGAAAAGTATTCTGCTGAAGTCTCAGCATTAAAAAAAAATCTCCCCTCATTTGAGCAAACACCTGATTTCAATTTTGAAAAAGTGAAATTTTGTAACAGTCACACACAAAGAGAGAAGACTGTGCATATGATAGTTGTAGGAGAGGGTAGAAAGAAAGGGGATATAAGAGGCTGAGGGAAAAAAGGAGAAAACAAACTAGAGGGAAGGAAGGAGGGAGACTCACAGTATTATCTTGTCCAAAAGAAAGAAGTAAGGTCCACTGCAGCACCAGGGATTACACCTGTCAGATATCTGCTACCCCTACCATGGTTATAACTGAATACAAAATTAGATAAATAAAAACACGCCGGATATTACAGTAAACAAGTGAAAGAAATAAGCTGGCAACCGTATGGAATTTAAAAAGATTGTGTACCCCACCTGGCTGGCTCCAGGGCTCCTGCAGGGGTGTACAACAGGCACAATGCACTGATGGGGAGAAGCCAGTCTGCTCTCATCTCTCATCCAGAACAGTGTTATTAGGTATGTGGGTGGCTTTATAACACTCTCACCTGGGCCACTCTCAAATAAGCATCTCCCAAAGAAACGTGGGACATGCCACACACAATCACAGTCCTGTCGGTGCCATTCCACAAACGTATCTTTCTACTCTTACCCTGCAGTCACGAGTGCATGCTCCCCAATCATGGAGGCAGTCCTACTCAGGGGATCGTCAAGTCCTGATTAATTGGGAGTAGAAAAAATAAAATTCAAAGAATTCCCTAACCACCTGGGACCCTTCCTAATCAAAGTTATTGCCAAAAGCTGATAAGTAGCAATGCAGTTGGCCCATCTCAGTTATATCTCTTTTCTTTGCCTACTTACTTCATAGATTACTGAGCTGTGAAATAGCTTGGGGAAGGGGAGTGGGATGGTACCAGCTGGGGGCTCAGACAATCTACTAGGACAATCTGCTCCTGAATAATCAAGAGTTAACCATGAGCTCTTCCTCAGAGATCCAGGCACCCCTCAGTCAAAGCACACTCCGAGCTTCACTATCCCTGCCTCTTTCTTGGTGTTTCTAAGACAAAGGTAAGGAGTATTCTTGGGTGGACACATCTTGGCCAGATAACTGCTTTTGGAATGGTTGTCTTAAATACCTACCTTTTTTCTTAAGTGCATAAAACCCTAACACTACTCAGATGGCTTGGGGCTTTGAGATTGGCTCTTCTCACCATTTTTTCCTTTGAAAACTTTTTTTTTTTGATTTAAAAAGATGTTCTCACTGCACAAGTGACTACAGGATACAGGCAAGGATGGGAGACGGAGGCTTCAACACAACTCATTGCACTTAGAACCATTACTAACCGAAACACCATTTGCTTGTCAACAATGTACCCTTAACAGCAGGGAGAAACTTCTTTATAGTCTCTGCTTCAGACAAGATTTACATCTTTCTCCAAGGCCAGAGCCAGTCACGACCACAAGTCTTGTTTCTTGTTGACCAGACCCAATCCTCTGGCACCTTGTACCCCCTCCCCCAGCAATATGCTCGGCCTAGGTTCCAGAGGCAGCTGGAAGGAAGCAGCTATGGGCTCATTCAAGTTCTGTCTGCCCAAATCCAGAAGCCCTAGGAAAGTCCTGTCTGAGTCTTGACCCCTGACCCCTGCAGTGGCTGGAGCCGGTACTGGTGCACACCCCCACTCCCTCGATGTGGGTAGTGCTGTGAATTGGAAACCGCAGATACCCTGGAGGCCTGATAGGCAGCTGACTGCCCAGCACTGGGCAGACTGATAGTCCGGAAGTCTGATGGCAATGACGACCTAGAGTTCTGAGGAAAGGAGGTGGAACTCAGAGTTCCTGTGCTGGACTGGGAAACCGGGTCTGAGGTCGGCGAGTCTGAGGGGCCCTGCGGGGTAGGGCTAGCAGCACTAGAAGGGCAGCTCCTCCTTGGAAGACTGCTGCCGGTGCTGTTTCCAGAATGTGGCTGGCTGCTATAATACCCTGGTGTCCCCGTAAATGGGGCCAACGAGTCTGTGGACACAGGGTGGGCAGGGCTGGAATAGGACGTGGAAGAGAGGGAGGATTCTGAAGAACCATGAGAAGGGGGGTTCCCAGGTCTCAGTGCAGTAGTTCGATAACTGTATCCCGGAGACTGGGTGGGATGTCCTCTAAAGGGGGAGGAACTCTGTTGAAGGAGGCTTTGTGATTCTGTCCGTGGACTATCACACTGCAGGAGCTAGAAAGAGTTGGGAGGAAAACATAAGGAGGTGAAAAAGTCCCTATTTAAGCCATTTAGGCTTGTGAATATTTAAAATATCCTACTTTTTCTTCATCTTCTTAAACATTTGTTCTTTTTAGGATACCAAGGACAGTAAAATGGCTGTCTTTGGTCACTTAATTTTTCTGGCGTGATTTATTACCTGAAGGTGAGCAGATGATGACTTATTTCCAAAGCTGTTGAAACTATATGCAAAGACGGCATCTCAACTGCAAAGGATGGCCAGGATCACAAAACATTTGGAACCCAGAACACATTCTTATGCCCAGAGATGAGCACTTTCTTGTCTCACCTGGTAGCTGTATCTGGAAGGGCTGTAAACGGCTGCTCCTTTAGAGAGTGCTGAGCTCAGTGTCTCTGGGCCTTCACCATCTGCAGGGTCTGGAAGGTAATACAAAATCAACTTATTTTCTTAGAATAAGTGTGAGAGATCCATTGTTCATTCAAGTCACCAATGCCAGCACCAACCCATGCCGCTCTCTTTCTGACAAATCAGGTGAGTGCAGCATGCCAGAAGGGCAAAAGGAGTGGTTAATTATGGGGTGTTTTAAATGCCTGATCTGATTTCTGTCTCCTTTTTTCTCTTCATCCTTCATCAAGGTGATTCCCAGGGCTTTGGAGAGATGAGTTACATAAAGGTATCCTTTGGGAAAAAAGAGCAGACAAAGAGCAAGCAATGCTAGATCTTAAGAATGCTGTAGCCCAAAAGAGTGAAAGCAAGACTGAGCTGGAACTCTGCATACAGGGGAGCCCAACTGCCTAAGAAATGGACTCACCTCAGCCTAGCATTTGGTGTGCATTGTGTAGAGCCTGGCTCACGTCCCTGTACCTGGTTGGCAGAAGGCCATAGGCTCACCTGAGTCTTTTTCTGTGATGTTACTCTCCCACGTGGGAGAAGGCTCTCCTTTTTGGGCCACCCTCACACTGCTTCGGAGGACCTTGGGGATGCTCCCTCCTTCTCGGAGTCGTTCTACTGATGTGGGAACCATCCTGTGAAGGCAATAGTGTGTGTAGGTTTATGCCACAGGACTTTAGAGATAAGAGTCTGGAACAAACAAAGCTCTGACAAAAAACTGTACAACGTATTCTCTTAGAACACCCTCTTTTTAAACATTATTTTCTTCAGGACCAATTTAAAACAAGGTATTTTCTCTGTCTCAAACTATGACAGGCACTTAAGAATAAACACTTCTAAAGAAAAATAGCAATTAAGGAAAAGGGGGATTTGAAGCTGTTTACTTCTTTTAACCTCCATCTTGAAATGCTAATTTTCTCTTCTGTGAACTCATGTGACTGGCACGTGGTAGCAGTTTGTTTCACAGATGAATGAACATTACTCCCTTGAGCCATGTCTCTCCTTTCTCAGACCTCATTTCTTCAGTTCAAGATCCCTAAAATGCCTCATTCTTTATTTCACTCATTTGCTACTCAGTACTTGACATTAGTGTTATTTATTTGTGTTGTCCCTTAAACCAGACAAATCCTTTCAGAACGTGTCACATCTCTCTGTATATGCTAGCCGTGTGGAACTGAGATATCTGTTGTTAATTTAAGGGGAACTGAGCTCAAATCCTGACTTACCTTTCACACGAAATGAGAAAACAGAAGAGGCAGTGTTAGTGCCCAGCGAAAAAAATAACTCCACTGTGTCCACAGCTATATGCCATCCAACATGTTGTTTTGCAGGCTCGGTGGCAATTCTTTGCTTCTGTAGAGCTGGTGGATTGTGGCTGATACTATTAAATCAGCTGAATAGGGTAGATAGCACTGCTGGCTGGCTTTCTCAGATAAGTGTTTCCATACATCTTAGGTAAAGAGCCTAGATGTTTACTTCCCTCCTGAATTTTAATCATTAAAGCATCAAACATAAACTTACCACCTACTGCTGATACTCTCTTGAGGTCTGCAGTGAGATGAAGTGCCTCTGGAATCCGATGGGCTTACGGCCTCCAAATGAGACATAGAGGAATGAGATGGGGAGAACTTTTTGTGAGGGGAAGATGGGGTTCGGGCTGAGGATCCCTGCACACCATGGGCACCAGTGTCAGAAAGTGAGTTACTGCTGCCATGCCCAGCTCCTGCAGACTTGCTTTTGCTCTGTGTAGAGTCACCTCCCCCACCAGCAGAATTTTCCTTGGCTTCCTGTTTCCGTTTGCGGTACTCCAGCAGGGATACCTAGGAAGGAAAAAAGAAATAGGACCCTAGATGGAATCCTAGTAAACTGCTAGCAAGCCATGCAAACAAAGCAGGCACCAACAGGTGACTTTTTCCAATGTGAGAGAGACCTGAGCACAGCTACTTATTTAAATCAGTCAGAAACTGGTAAGGAAAAGAGAATACACTAGGAGATGGCATTTTTGAAAAATGGTATTCACCAGCAGACCTCAACCATTATTATGCCTTCAGAAAAACCTGTTGAGATTACAGTTCTCTTCAACAAAAGTGTGCTATTATAGCTATTTGTAACAACGGTAGCACCCAGAAAAGGGAAGGTGAAGAGCTGGGAGTCTGTGTAGTTTGAAAAAGTCTCCTAGGTGATTCTGATAGCCCTTCCTCACTCCCCAGAAATCCCTAGAGTTAGTTGTTTAAAAACAAAACAACACACACACACACACACACACACAAACAAAAAGAAAAAGCCAATGCTTCAGTGTTTTTAAATGTGCTCAAATTTAAGATATATCCAGGGATTTATTATTGTTACTGTTTTACACATAGAGAAACTAGTGTAAAAGGAGAAAGGAAATGATTTCCTGTTTATACTTTAGCAAGCCAGCTCTAGAAAGCCTGTACTTGGAAACTTCTCCTCAATCTGCCATTCCTCTGCCTTATTCTTTCCTGACTGCCACAACAAACCCCTCCTCCCTGCCCTGCCTAGTACACCTCCTCTCTGCTGTTACAGCACACTGTGCTTACACTGCCTGTCGATCTATTAAAATGTCTTGTATGCTTGTAAACTGTCATGTTCTACAAGGGCAAAGACCAAGTTTATTTGGCTTTTTATCTTTAACATACAGTGCAGAACTTGGTTGATAGCAGGTGCTCAACAATATTTCTGAAATAACAGGTCATGATTTCAATCACTTTTGCACATAATAAATGAAACCAGAAATCCAAAGACTGTTTCCACTTTTGTTTCTGCTAGTCAGTGCTGTTGATGCAACAGCATTCTAAACCCAGTGCCTTTTTTTTTTTTTTTTTTTTTTGCCTGCACCTCGCAGCATGTGGGATCTTAGTTCCCCAACCAGGGTTCGATCCGTAGTGAAAGCACGGTGTCCTAACCACCGGACCACCAGGGAATTTTCCCCGCAATGCTATTTTATTATTACAGATTATCTGCCAGTGTTTCCTCCTTCTTTTATCCACTTAGGGCTCTCATTTATCTGTTCAAATATAAAATATAATGAAAACACAAAGTAAGACAATTTTGTGTATGCATTTTCTATAGACAGTCATGGAAAGGGGTTAATAATAAATTCTGTTAATGTATTTCACTGTAATGCAAAGACAAAAAGCCACTAGGCTACATGTGAACAAGAGTACCACAGACATCTTGCAATTATGTGAGACTGTCACACACACACACAACGTTAAACACCTCTAGCTCTGACCAGTAAGTGGAAGTTGCTGTGACAACTCAAAATACTCCTATGAATTTCCAAATGCCCCTAGTTGAAAACCACTGACATAAAAAAAGCACACTTTTGGCTTTGTAATTTATAGATCAGGCATCACCTACAAGTCAAGCCCCAAACCAGATCTCTGCGACCTGGCCCTGCCCACCCCTGTATTCTCCTCCTGACCATCCCCACTATTCACCTGCCACCATAGCAACATTCAACGGCAACCACATCACATCCCTGCTGCCCACTCAATGGAGTGTCACAGTTACTTGTTCTGCTCTCTCTTCCGTAAGATCTTCACCCCCTCAATTTGTTGGCTGATTGATTCCTACTTCCTGTTCTGAGATCAGCCAAACCAGTGACCTGTCACCTTGCACTCTACCACCCCTCAAACTGGGCTATGAACCTCTTGTTTGTTCTCAAGTACCCTCCACATATCCGACTTGGTCAGATTTCCTGTTAAGTTGTTCTCATCACATCTGAACGACTCCTTTCTCATCATTAATACAATTATCTGCTAAGCTCAGTCTGACTTGCTATAAGCTCCATTAGGGCAGAACCTAGGAGGCAATATAGCATGGTGGCAATAAGAGCATGCAATCTGGAATCAGACAGACCTGGGTAGTGTCCTGGCTCTTCCATATACTAGCTGTGTGACCATGGCAAGTTACTCAACTTGCCTTAGTTTCATCATCTACAAAATGGGAAATTACCCATTTTACAGGATTACTGTGAGGTTAAATGCATAAGAAGAGCTTAACAGTGCCTAGAACATGAAAAGTACTATATAAAACATGTAAGTAGCATTATTCTTTTTCACTGCTTTATCCTTTGAATTGCCTAGCCACGTGTATGGCACATACATGGTAGGCATTTGAATTTGCTTAACATTTACAACACTCATCAAATTATATTAAAACAGTCTTTCACTAGACATGCCAAGAGACCGTCTTACTTATCTTCATTTTCCTCACACTGAGAACAGTGCTGAAAACACAGTGGTAACTCAGTAAATACCTGCTGAATTATTCAGTTAAAGTTCTTCAAAAGGGCCTATAAAATGTGAAACACTTACCTTTTTCCTCTGTGGTGGGTTCTGGGGGGCAGATGGGAGTCCCTCACAAGCCCTTTCGCCACCAGGTGACATGGATCCACGAGAGAGGTCTTTCATAAAACCATGCTCATATCTGCTGGGAAACCCTTCTGCAGGGGAACAATAGCCCCCATCCAAATGTAAAGGCTTCCTATCCCCTACTAGGGGAGACCCTCGATACAATCCATCTGCTCGAGGCATAGCGTTCAATGGGGAGTAGGCATACATCAAGTTAAACTCTGTCCGAAATGTCTGGTCCGAGTTTCTCACAAGGGTCTGATGTCCATCTCCACTCCTGCTTGTAAAGCCAGTCTCAGAGGTGGGTCCGACAGAGGGATGAGGAGCCAGGTCAGAATGACCCGAGCTGATCAGGGAAGGTCTGTCAGCACAGCTGTTAGTGTTGGAGTCAAGGTAGCCTACTTTTGTCAAGTCCAGGTCTTTTCGGTGACAAAGCTGAAAGAATAAAAATCAACGGAGACATGGGGTAGAGGAGAAAGGAAAAAGTCAAAGGCAGAAGAGGAGGGAAGTGAGGGGGCACAGGTGAATAAGAATAGGTAAGAGGGACGAAAGTATAAGAGAGAAAGCCATTAACATCTGTAAAGGTCCCATGTAATACCAGTGTATACACACCAGATTAACAAAGAATCCTGGCCTTCCCCAAATTGTTTTAAAGTCTTTCTGGAGGAGAATACTGGGAAAGTCAGAATTAGATAACTGGCCAAATGTGACTATTTTGCCTGCTTAGCCTTTCATCAGGTTTGCTGAGTCATCTTGCACTACATTCAGGGACTGGCAGTATAATTAGGGATTTACCTGAGCCCCATGGAGCCAAAGAGGTGAGAATAGTGTATTAAGATAACTGGCTTCTGGTGTTATTCATTTCTAAACTAATATTGATGGAAGGTGGGAGGAGGGAAAAAGGTGAAAGAAAGTAGAAAGTAGACGAAAAGTCAAGTATTTAAGTTACTGGTTCAGGGAAGAAGAATGGTATTACTTAACGACATCAACCAACCAGTTCTTCACTCACTTTCACTATTAAGTATGTATTTCTCATAAAACTTTCTGGCCACTCAATTCTTCTTTTTGCATCCTCTAACATATGTTAACATACCACAAGACCAATAATGCTCATCACTGCAGAGCATCTGAAATGCTGAAACGTACCAAAAATAAACCCATCTACTTGGTCATCATTACCTCCTAACATCAAGATTTTCTGCCACTATGTCAGCTATAGCTAACTCTCTAGAAAGAATAGTACCAGAAACCCAGATGACACACCATGTGAGCCTCCAAATTATGCTATCTTAGAATCTTTAGCAACTGAGGGAGAGCTTTACATTCCTTCCAAAATAGAGTAAAAAACACCCAGAAGACCTCTAGTACTAGAATACAATCTTCTTCAGTTTCACAGTCATCTATAAAATCCTACTGATTCAGAATTTGGTCACCTGTCACTGATTTTAGCACTAACTTTTTACTGGAAGGGTGTGGGTTTAACAGTTTAGTTAATTTCTGGAAGGTTATGAGAGACTATAACTTTCTCTTTAAGAGGAAAAAGGCTCCATGTGGATTCATGGAGTTAATCATTACTACGTTTGTGGATTCATGGAGTTAATCATTACTACGTTTGTCCAAATCTTTTAACAGTTAAGAAACTCTAGCACTAAAATCTGAATTTAACATCTCCATAGCAGGATTTGATATTCTAAGAGATACCATTTGTACAGCAACCATTTCCCAACCACTGCAGAATGGAGCCCTGAGTCACAGAAGCCATGGGCTGACTTAAGCTGAGAGGCATGACTCTTTCTAAAGAAGCTGCTTAATCTATCAACCAAAGCTCAAAACATCCAGTTAAACAGCTGTCAGGTTAACCTGGGAATAAGGCATAAATCACCGCCTAACTTTTCCAATATAAGCTGCTCCTTTATCAGCCCAAGATAATAAAGATCAAAAAACAGCTCCTACCAACTGTTGATATAACCTTCCTTATTTAACAAACACACTGTTAGACTTTCTTTAACAAGGTTCCCACCGCATCTTCAGCTCCTTTAAACTTGATTTCTAGATTCTATTCTTTAAGAAAACTCTTCAGCCATACCCTTCCCCCCCCACCCCCCACAAAGCAACAAAAACAAACCCACCACACACACACACACACACACACACACACACTACTTCATTTTCCTCCAGCTACAATGAGAGTTCTGAGTAACCACAGGCACACATGGGAAGATTCATTCAACTTACAGTGACCAATCGGCCACCCTCCAGCCCATCACCCCATTCACTCAGATCCCCCAGCCCTCCCCACACAGGCAGGAGCACACTCATGCACACTCACTCTCAGCCTCCAAGTGTGATTGAGATGGTGTGATAACTACCTCGGGTGACAGGGACTCGGGCCTATTCGCAGGGGAACTCTCAGGGGAGGATATGTTCTAGAGGAGGAAAAGCATCTTGTTATTCATCTACTCAAAGAAGCAAAACAAAACAAACAAAAAATAAAGCAAAAAAAAGCAAGCATAGATGGTTAGCCACAAATTTTGGGGGGTGGGGCAGGGAGAAGGGTAAGAAGGCACAAGGGAAATGTTCAAATGCAGAATTCATCTCGATGGACAGAATGACTTGTTAAAATGCTTCCTGGCGTCTTTGAAAGCATTTAAGGATAAACTGGTTATGTATCATGCTGTAAGTAAACATCTCAAGCAGATACCAAGAGTTAAATTGGTAAGTTTTTACACTATTACAGTATATGTCTTTCTATGTTAGAAGAGATTTCCTACAGTACTTGTTACTGAGGGGCACCCTACCACTCATTCCTCCTGCTTAGGGGCACCTTTTCTCTTCACCCCACACCCTATTCTGAATGTCACATTTCCTCAATTCTCCTGTGTGACTCAGGTCTGCCACCATTACCCAGGGAAACTGCTTAGCATGTTGGGGGCTGACAGGGCTAGGAAGATGGCCAGTTCCTCTTGAATGACAGTTGTAGAAGTTATGATTGATGGATTCTCTAGCTCATAGGCTAGATGGTTCTTAATAATCCAACTGGATCTGACCACCCCCACTAAGGTTCTTCTGATATTAAAATCCACTGTACTTTGAGGAATAGAGGGAAAAAAGAAGAAAAAAAAAAAACGGCAGATGTGTACACCTCCAGTCTCTGGTCCTAAACAGGGCTACCATTAGGGCGGCTTTTGCATGAGGCAGCACTCCCGTATGAAACAGGAACTGGGCAGTAAGTTCAGATGGGAAGGTATGAAGGGTAAAAAGCAGAGAATGACAGTAGTAGCTGTGACAAGGATTCAGGGGCAAGGTAGGGGAGGGCCTCTAATATCACAGGCTCTTGGACAGCTGTGGCCTGGGTGGCTGGCCCATCCTGGGGCAGGAAATGAGGCTGTTTTAGCAGAGCAGGGGTACTGGTGTTCACTTTATTCGGTGGGGTGGTAGTATGTGTGAGATGGATAGTAGGGTATGGCTCTCCAGGCAGGAAGACAAGGGAAGGGTTATTCTGCTGGAAAGGAGGGGTTCATTAAACTTGCCCCTCCCAATGTTGCTTTCACTTTTGTTTTGATGCTTCCCTTTTCTCATGATCTTGTTTCTCTTCTACTACATGTCTTTTCAACTCATTCCCTTAGCATTTCTCACTTTCCTCCTTTCAAAAATATTCTTCCCCCAACCAAGCTGACCTTTACTTGTGACACCTTTCTGCTATTTCTCTATGTCATAGTCTTAGATGGAAATAAGGCTCCCCACCTCCCCATACTAGAATATAGGAAAGAGTATAGCAATTAGAATGGTGATAAAGATGGTTGGGATGATGAAATCTGTTTTTTGAATTGATGAAAAAGGCCAAATTTTCTTAGTTAAATCATGAGACTAAAACAGTGAAAACATGCACCGAACTTTTTGAAAGGATCGGCTACTTAATGTATGTTTTCTTTCCCTCCTGGTATCCTAACATTATGCTTAGACTACGCATCACTAAAATGATCTCTGATTTAAAAAAATAGAAAATAAAAACACCTTACATTTGCATAGAATTTCAGTTATCCAAAACGCTGCAAGGGGTAGGAAACATACTGAGTGCTAAACCCGGCTGTTCTAGATGGCAACCCACCTTCTAATTTCACCTTTAATTATAATAAAACGTTAATTATAATAAAGTATGAAATTCTACTCCTAGAATCTACTGCCTCCCAGTGAGAACGTCCTCTCACGAAATTTTACCATCAAACTTCGGCTGCTAAATGAAAAATCAACTGCAATTAGATCCAAGTAAAGTTAGTAAGGCCCACATCAGCTGTTTTGCTATCTGACTAAAAAGAACGCCACAGGGAATTTGGTAAAGGGTAACTTCCCTAGAAATCAAATGTAACCAGAAGGTTCTGTTCGCCTTCTCAAAAAGGTTTGCTCCAAAAGTAAGTTAATATGGTCGAGTTTAGGTACAGAATACAGCTGTCTCTTACTTTCAAGGTTGCTAAGTTTCCTCTTTCTGAGTTAGTCATTTAAAGGTTCAGGTCTTTTAAATCTCCATGCTCTCATAAAAACTGAATAGGTAGGATGACACTGATTACAACATTCACCTTTATCAAAGAACACATCTGGAAAAGTGCAAGGTAGGGTCAGAGCTGAGTGTTTAGTCATCAGAACAAATTTTTCTGAGAAGGAATAGATAGTGTCTGTTTAATTTAATTATAAATCAAAGCAACATGCAATAGATGAGTTTTTTTTTTTTAACGCACGCACACGGATTCTATTCAGTAAAGCTGCTGTCACTCAAACTTGAATACTAAAGCAATTCAGAAGTAACTTTTTGAAACAGCTGACCAGAGAGCGAGTGTAATAAATCTGGTTCTTCTAAATGCATGTTGCTAGGCTCTTTCTACTTCTCATTCCTAACACATGAGAAGGGAAAGTAATCTGGGAATGAAAAAAACCCCTAAATTGCCATAAACCATACCTCAGTGCTTTCTAAATCTCTGTTTACTTAGGCACATGAGAATGCAAAATAACAGAATGCAAAATAACAAAGACACTTCACTTATTTAAAGGCCTAGAAATGGAGGCACAACCAATCAGTATAACCTGAGCTCTCAGGCAGGTGTCATTAATGGTTACTAAGCAGCTAGAGGCCTATTTTAACCAAGGTATACAGTAAAGATAAAGATCTAGCACGATTACCACCTAAAGTAATGGAGGTTGATGAATTGCATGCAAAAGATAAGATGAGTGTCACCTGTGGGAGCACTATTCCTATTTTGGGAAGTATGGGGACTGCCAAGATGAGAGGCTACCAGGTAATAGGTCACAATGACCCTGAGGTTTCCCATTCTCTTGCTAAGATGGGTGAAGAACATGGTAAAGAAACATCTGGAGTGATGTATTTGAAATGAGGAGGTGCAAATAATGATTTTCATATTCAGCACTCCCAACAACCAAACCCAAATCACCTCAAATTGCAGAGGAGTATTGCAGCGACTAGCAGTAGTAAGAGACGTGACTGGTGAGAACATGAGGCTGTATCCATTTCGACACTCCTCTTCTGGGTGAGATGGGCCAGGTGTGGTCAGCTGGGGGCTCTTTGAGCCTGGATTGGGAGGGGGTGGTGTGACTGGAGAAAGAGGCCGCAGTAACTTGGTAACATTCTGCTCCATCAGATAGCGAGATTTCCATTTCTTTAATGGGCTCAACAAGTCTGTGAAATACAAAGCTTGGATGAGAGGTCTGAAATTACATCCTCAAGGGCTGCTTCATAGTGAAGCCATTATTAATCACTAGCCCACAATGGCTGGTAACTCCACTTTTGCCTCATCCCATTGTTACCTCCTGCAATCAAACCAAAAGCCCAAAGACTTTTTAATTGTCACACTTAAAGTAATTCTCAAAACTCTCTACCTCCCAGAAAATCACCAGATGAGTTTGACCCTTCTGATAACTAATCCCTGGAGCTAATTTAATCTCTTGTAGTGGAAAATATAAATTTAGTTTTTTCACACTGAATTTCTGAACATCTCAAATCTGTGTCTCTTTGCTAAAATCACCCTCTACTGAATTGCCACGTCACCAGCTCAGTTTCAAGCTTTTATATATTTTTGCCATTCTTTAGCAGCTCTTTATGTAATATTCTTCTTTAGTAGGAAAGAGTTACGCATGATCACTTGATCCTTGTTGAGCCCTTAGTTTTATAGTGCTTCAAAGTGTGAAATCATTTCTACAGAAACTTCTCCCAATCATTTTCAAAAACTAGGGTGGTACTCCTTTCCTGATTGGAATATCCTACTTTCTACTGTACACTTCTTAGTTCCACTTAGAAAGGAAGTTAATATGCTATAAATTTTACTGACCACTCAGGCCAATGCACCCGTCTCACTTTCTCAAAGGAAAAATCTATTTTTATTCGTTTACAGTTCAAAGCTATTCATTTACTTAATACCTACGATATGGAAACCACTGAACCAGGTAAGTGGGGGAAAATGGTTATCATGTATTCTATTTTAAATGGGTTTACAAATGTGTCAGAAAAAGAAAAAATATATAAAACGTGTAATATACGTTTAAGAACCTCAACAGAGGTGATCATACTGCTATGTTAGTAAAAAAAAAAAAAAAATGCTTTTAAGTGCTTATTACACACCAGGCACTATACTACATGCTTTATGTGAATTATCAGATGTAATTTGAGTAACTCTACAAACCCAGTACTATTATTATCCCCACTTTACAGATAAGGAATTTGATGTATAAAGAGAGAAAGATTAGGTCACCTGATTCCCATCTACATTCTTAATCATTAGGTTAAATTATACCCCCAAGGCTTGGTGGAAGGAGTGAAATTTACCCCAAGTCTTTGAGGAAAAGTTTTCGGACAGTAATCAGAGCTGTGCTTGAGAAAGATTCTCCTGGTAGCAATGGTTAGGATGAGAATGGACACTGGGAAACTATTTGGAGTTAATGAAGTAAACAGAAAGAGTTATGAGGCTTGAACTAGGGCAGCAGAGGTTGAAGCAGAGACAAGAAATAAAAGCAAAAAACACTGGAGATACATATTTTTCCTTTCATATATATAAAAATTTAAAAATTTTCCTAGATTAGAAGTATATTTCTATTTTCCTTCTGTTCCAGATACTCATTTTTCTTTTCTCCTTTTGAAAAGTGCCTAGGTATAAACAAACAAACATGTGATTCATGACTTATACTTGGGTTTATATATTTCGAGAGTCTTAAACAGTGAATCTTTCAAAAGACTGCTATACTGCTAGGTCCAATGCTGTAACTACTAAAGGCAATTATGTAAGTGATAAAGTTGACTGTAGAAAAGTTATAAAGTTCAGATGAACTCTCCCACCCCCAAAATCAACTTAAAGGTCATTCATTTAAAATATATTTACTGAGTACTTATTATGATATATTCAACAAGAGACCTGACACCTGCCCTTATGAGGTTTATGGGCCAGTGGTAATCTGCGTACTTTTTTCTACGAACGGCACTATATTTACAAAATTGTTTTTTTCAAGTTTCATTTTTCTTCTTTTTGCCATACACAGCTATCAAATTTCATGTGGTTAAATCTAACTTTTATGGTTTTTTACCTTTACTCAAATAATTCCCAAGGTTATATAAACACCCACCCACATATTGAAACACATACATAACTTGACATCATATCCACAAATTAATTCATTGTTAATATGCTGGTGTATTTTCATCTAGAACTCTTTCCTGACATGTCCTTACTCACCCTGTCTAAATCACACTGGACAATAACCTACTATTTTCAATCAGAAATACACAGTAAAAATCCTTCCATTACAATGACAAAAATGTTACAATTATATTTTAATTTTATTAATAGTCTTTGGCTATACAATGTTTTATATTTTTATTTAGTCAAATGTATCAACCATTTCCCTTATTTTCTGCCTCTGATGCCATGTTTTTGTCACCCCACCCCAAGACTATAAAAATACTGACCAATTTTCCCTTTATCTCCATATTTAATTTTTGAATTCAACTCAGAACATATAGTAGTTTCGGTACTAGTATGTCCTATCCTTTTCCACAGGTCAAATGGCTAGCATATTCTTCCAAATTCTTCTGTAATTATAGAATAATCATATTTCTCTATTGATTTGAAATATGACATTTATTCGACTAGATACTGGGTTTAGTTCTGAATGTTATTCTGTACACTTTTTAGTAAAATTGTTTGGGCAATTCCAGTTATTCTACTCTAGCTCTCCAAAATATTTTGCCTATTCTAGCATACTTGTTCATGTCAATGAACTGTAGAAATCATTTGTCAACTAGGCTGATACTGGGACTTCCCTGGCAGTCCAGTGGTTGGGACTTTGCCTTCCAATGCAGAGGGTGTGGGTTCGATCCCTGGTCAGGGAGCTGGGATCCCACATGCCTCACGGCCAAAAAACCAAAACATAGAGCAGAAACAATATTGTAACAAATTCAATAAAGACTTTAAAAATGGTCCACATCAAAAAACAAACAAACAACTTTAAAACAAACTAACAAACACTATGCTGATACTACACCCTCCCCAAGGCTGACTGGGGTTGTATTAAATTCATGAGTAATTTGTCGAGAATTCTAACTGAGCACCGTGGCATGATCTTTTAGCTACTCATGCCTTCATTTATATTCCTCCTCCTCATTATTATTATTATTTTGGCTCCGCTGCGCAGCTTGTGGGATCTTAGTTCCCTGACTAGGTATTGAACCCAGGCCCTCAGCTGTGAGAGTGTGAAGTTCTAACCACTGGACCGCCAAGGAATTCCTTATATTCCTCTTCATTATAGATCTGCCACATTTCTAATTAGGTTTATTCTCCAGTGTTCACTATTTTCTGTTACCACTGTGAACTGGATGTATTTCTCCCTGTGTATTACCTAAATGTTATTGCTAACATGTAAGAAAATGTTTACATATTTTTGTACCCAGCTACCCTATTGATCTCTACCAGTTTTTCAGTTAATTCTCTAGGCTTTTCCAGGTAGAGCAGCATATTATTTGTATACAATGGCAACAAATACATCCTCTTTACCAAAACTTTTATCTCATAGATCTTCTTTTTGGTAATCAGTTTGGATAACAATTCTAGATGTTGTTATATAAGAATGGTAATACTGGGATAAGTTGATAACCAATTTAAAAGTTTAATCTAACTAGTTTTCACCATGAAACATAACTGGCAATTGTTTTCAGATAGATGTAAAATAAAAAATCATTCAGTATGTCATTTTATTAGATTTATCATTAAATTCACAGTTACTGTGTTATTACTCCCCCTTCTCCATTAGGCTGGCTAATAAATTATATGAATAATATTTCAAATACTGAACCAACCACCTTTACATTCCACGGAAAAATTTTATTTCATCATAACATACTATTCTTTTAATATTCTTACAGAGTCAAGATTCAGATCAGTGAAATCTAATTCAAAAGTAGTACTGTGCTATTTTTTGGAGGTTAATTTGATAAAATAGAGTAAAAAATTTAATGCTACTGTATAGTATTCCACCAAAAGTATGTGTAATAGAAGATAAACCACAAATTCTAACATTTCTTTATTTGTTGAAACCCAGGTTGTTTTTATCCTGCATATGTTTGTAATTATTAATAATTCCATGACTAACACTTTGTATAAAAATTTTGGTCCACACCTATTTCTACAGAACAAGTACCTAGAACAACAACTACTAGGTTAAGGAATGAATTTTTAAAATGCATGACAGGGACTTCCCTGGTGGTGCAGTGGTTAAGAATCCACCTGCCAATGCAGGGGACACAGGTTTGAGCCCTGGTCCGGGAAGATCCCACATGCCGCGGAGCAACTAAACCTGTACGCCACAACTACTGAGCCTGCGCTCTAGAGCCCGGGAGCCACAACTACTGAGCCCGCACGCTTAGAGCCTGTGCTCTGCAACAAGAGAAGCCACTGCAATGAGAAACCGTGCACTGCAAGGAAGAGTAGCTCCCGCTTGCCGCAACTAGAGAAAAGCCTGCACGCAGCAACAAAGATCCAATGCAGCCAAAAAAATAAAATGCATGATAAATCTTACCAAATTGCTAGTAGAGATATTACTTCCTTGTCATATATATATATATTTTTTTGCGGTACGCGGGCCTCACTGTTGTAGCCTCTCCCGTTGCGGAGCACAGGCTCCGGACGCGCAGGCTCAGCGGCCATGGCTCACGGGCCTAGCCGCTCCGTGGCATGTGGGATCTTCCCGGACTGGGGCATGAACCCATGTCCCCCTGCATCAGCAGGCGGACTCTCAACCACTGCTCCACCAGGGAAGCCCTTCCCTGTCATTTTTATTGCAAATCCTTTCTCCCAATATTGTTGTCCTCTATTGATTCAGAGAACTAAGGACATAGAAACATTGTTTATTTAACTTTAATTAAAAAACACGGGGGCTTCCCTGGTGGTGCGGTGGTTGAGAGTCCGCCTGCCGATGCAGGGTACACGGGCTCGTGACCCAGTCCGGAAGATCCCACATGCCGTGGAGCGGCTAGGCCAGTAAGCCATGGCCGCTGAGCCTGCCCGTCCGGAGCCTGTGCTCTGCAACAGGAGAGGTCACAACAGTGAGAGGCCCGTGTACCGCAAAAACAAAAACAAAACCCAAACCCCAAACAATGAATGCACATAGAATTTACTTTGGCAAAGATCTAAGTCTTTCTCATCCCCCATGCAAGTAAAAATTCCAGAATAATTTACCAAATCTTTCACTTCCATAAGGCTTGCTTCTGGCTATTCTGTTCCACATATACATCCATTATTGCACCTGTACTAACTACCAGCTTCTAGATTCATAATAGAAGTTAAGTTTTACACTTCTAGGTAAAGTACTTCTTTGTCATTACTTTTTCAATTTTTTCTTATTTTCATGTTTACTTTTTATGATAAACTTCCAAAATCATTTAATCAAACCCCCAAACAAACTAGTTTGATGGAAACTATCTGAAGCCAGGAAAGAAACTGATTCATTATATTTCTTCTTCCCATTAATCAGTATGGGAGTTCCCTTCATTTCCTCAAGACTTAAAAAGTATTTCTCAGTAATGATTTGCTTTGCATGCCCCCACCCTAATTCCTAGGCAGTTTCTCAGTTCTGTTAAGTTTGGCAATGAAAATTTTTTTCTTCATTTTCTTGGTACATAAATGGTATTAATTTTTGCACATCCAGCAGTTTTATTGAACTCCTGTTAATTTTTTCAAATGATTGTTTAGGCTCTCCTAGATATCCACATCATTTACAAATAATGAACATTATGTCCTCCCCTGCCTGAAGAGTAATACCATTTATTTCCATACAACTTTCGCTTCTAGGAACTTAGAATCTTTAATGTATCCTAGGATATGACTAATTTCTGTAAATGTTTCATAAATGCTCGACAAGAAATCTGTAGATAATGACAATAATAATTCCTATTAAGGGTCTGATACGGTAATTTATGTACCTTAATTTAATCTCCTATTAGCTCTACAAAGCAGATATTACTATACCCATTTCACAGATGAGGCTCAAAGATAACTTTATAACTTGCACAACATCATATAGTTAGTAAAGGGTAGAGATGGTCTTCAAACTCAGGTCTGTTGGATTCTTTCTACTACACCAGTTTGTATCACTTTTTTTCTTTTTTCCCTTTTTTGATTAATATTTTCTTGATCTTTTTGAGAGGAAAAAACAAAACCAAAGAAACCAAATAAAAATAATTCCTCAGGATTTACACTAACTTGTAGCAATATACCAAGTCACTTATTTGAGTACTGATTGTTATTTTTTTTTTTTGCAGTATGTGGGCTTCTCACTGTTGTGGCCTCTCCCGTTGCGGAGCACAGGCTCCGGACACGCAGGCTCAGCGGCCATGGCTCATGGGCCCAGCCGCTCTGCGGCATGTGGGATCTTCCCGGACCAGGCCACGAACCCGTGTCCCCTGCATCGGCAGGCGGACTCACAACCAATGCGCCACCAGGGAAGCCCTGCTTGGTTGTAATTAAATATTTTCCTGTTTACGTTGTTCCTGAAGGGCAAGGTGTGTCCTTTGAATGTTTCTCACTGCTAGAGACGAGAGAAGTTCAATAAAGGTTGGTGACTAACAGTCCTAATTCCATTCCAACCAGGGCACATAATAACAAAGGCACTTTCCCTATGAGTCTTTGCCAGTCACACACACACACACACACACACACACACACACACACACACACACACGTGTGTATACGAGATAGAAGATTTCAGTTAAGTTATACTCTCACCGTACTGTAAAAGCTGCCAATAAATTGGTAATATTGACGGAAATCTGTTACCAGCATTTCTTTATGTTAACCTGGTTTGAGTAAATCTCCCTAATATGTGGTGAAGAGAATAAGATATTTTAAATACATGGTATCATTTATCTTCCAGATGTTCTACACTGGGATCTTATTATCCTGAGGTTACACATGCGATAACTTACAAGGTATAATCCAATCTAGGGATAGAAAAACAAAGTCAATAATTTAAAAAAAATCTGTTTTTAGTAGCCTATTTTTCCCCCAAATACAGTATTACACAAAGTTTTAATATAAAGCAGATATTCCTAGTACAAATCTCTTTATTTAATTCAAGTTCATATTTACTCATACAATAAACAGAAACAAAGAAGCGGTTTTTATGAAAATCTGAACTATTACTATGTGACTTTTAGCATCTTATTTATTTTGGTATTTTGTTTTGATGGCATAATATTCACAAAATTGATTTAGAGATAAAGAAACTAAGAGGAATCACACAGAACTTTTCAATTAAAGTAATACTGGCCAAGAGAAACCGGTAATAAGACTATCCCAAAATAAGTTAAGTTGGTATCAAGTCCATACACCAGTGCTTTCAACTGCAATTCAATTAAAACCCCTTCAAGAGTCACTGGAAAACCAGTGGGCCAGATGATTTTACATGACCCTCCAGTTTGAAAACAACCAATTCATAATAATTTCTCATTTACTTCACTCATACCCTGCCCCTTCAACCAAGTCCCACCCAACTCAATCACCTACGATTTTGATTCTTTCCTGAATAATAGTGCCCCGCATCTTTCTTGCTTATTTCCCCTCTTATAAATATGGATATAGATTTCCTAAACTTACTACTTTAAATGTATCTAACCTTTTTTTAACCATTTCTGCTGTTATCTGTACACTGTCTAGTTCCTTCTTTGTCGTCCTGGGAATACTGATCCCTGACTTGAGATCTCTCTCTTCCTCTGTAAAGACAGATGTAAAGTAACTATTTAGAGAACAATGCTATTTCTTTTTTTTTGTATCAGACTTTTTAAAGTACTCAGTGAAATTTTTTATGTAGACCCAAAACAATCACTGCTCATGTATTCAGAAAGGTCTGCCACACATACCTGCATTGTCTTTGCAGATACTAGAAGAATTACTATTCTCATTACTTTGGTATAGGTGCTGAGTTCTAGTCTCTTGGGGTACAGATGATGTCTGGGTCATCCCTTCTTCCAAGGCTTGCTTTATCCAGCGCTATAATGGGAAAAGAACCAGGGAATTATCAATAATCATTTAAAACTATTTAGGTCACCTATTTTAAATGCATTAGCCAGGTCATTACATATCAACTGGTGAGAGATGCAATACAATGCATTCATTCGGGTCCACAGTCAAGTAGTTTTTGTCTTGTGTTTCAGCATTCTAGGATAGTGCCCCATCAATTCCTTTTATGGGGCATAACTGAGAAAACCTGGATTACACATAATGAAGTCCCACAAAAAAGCCCAAAGCAATAAAAAAAAAAAGATTACTATTTAACTTTTCATATTGCTTAGAATGGGATAAATGGGAAAAAGATAAGGAAGAAATCTTAGCATTTATTTAAGAGAGACTCTGATCACACAGGATGAAACTAGCACATAAAATAAGTGCACAGAAGGAAGATAAAAGATCTCTTACGAGCTGTCTGCCCTGTGTTGGGCATATGTGAATAATCGAAAAGATTCACAGGAAAACTTTGGATGAGGATAAACAGCTCTTCACTACAAGTATCGAAATGCTTCCAGAAGTCTATTCTCAGAATATCTTCTGAGTTTCCCCTCCTTATTAAGTAAGTAGTTTGGTTAAATTATGCATGAATAATACAAATCATCACCTGAATAAACGACCTTCTTGCAGAAATCAAAAAGGCAAACAAGTAAAAAAGAGCTCTCTAATCCGTCATTTTTTGTTGTGAATAATGGAATCTAAAATGATGGAAATAGATTTTTGTCAGAAAGTAAGCCTGCAGAGATTAGCGTAATAAGATTATGCATCCTGTGGAAGAGAGAAAATTTGTTACCTGTAATTGTGTTCTCTTAAGATACACAGTTGTAGGTTGCTCACCACTCTGTGGCTCTCCTGCCCTGACATAAGACAGATCGAATTTTGATAAACATCAATTTCTGAGTCAGACCCTATCCCAAATAGGAAGAGCAAAGGTGATTATAACTTTACACCTTTAGAAAACCAATATTACATGTAAGTAAATATTCTCTTTACCAAAGAGAGAAATTCTAATAGATTTACCCTCTTAGAAACTTAGGAAATAATGTGAGGAAACCAGACCATGTGGTCTGCCAAATGAAAGCAAGAATAAAATTATGAACATGAGGGGGTAAAGAGTGAGTAAGTACCTAAGAAAGACAGCTCAGCATCTATTGAATCACATCAGCATTTTAGGATTTGATCAGGTCTCTGAAAAGCCAAAACAAGACCAAGAATGAACTAACTCTCCTACATACAGAATATTGATATAAAGATGAAAACTGTCAGAACCATAGCTCCTTACATAGAAGAGACCTCAGAGGTTACCTTGTCTAACGCATTCATTGTACAGATGGGGAAAGTAAGGCCAGGAGGCCAAAAAAAGTGAAAATCCTTTGTTATAGATACCTTAGTACATACAAGTTTTTCATCAGAGCAGATGACAGGACTCATTTGGGGTCACTGTGCTTTCTTCCTAGAGAAGTCAATTTCTTATATTTCCAGTGTCAAATAGATGCACCCATAAAAGAACACTCTGGATCTGATGACTACAAAAAGGGAAAGTAAAACCAGGACAAGGGCATTCTAAGGAATAAGATGCTGCTTTGGTTAGCTTAAGGTCGAACACAGCAACATGATCAAACCCATTCCTCCCTGGCCCTATATGTACGTCTATACAATATTTCAGGGCCTGTAAAGAAGGAACATGAACAGCTACTTGTATCTAACAAATTCCAATCACCCCTACAGATAATAAATTAGACAACCCCTCTCCCCAAGTTCTAGCTACACTTATTAAGGTCAAAACATTTCTCCCTTCCCTGAAAGTCTGTGTTGAAGACATTTTTAGGAAGCTCAGAGAAGGGCAACAGAAATGTCTTAAAGGGTCTCATTACGATGGGGAAAGAGAAAGGAATTAATTTGGGTTTTAGGGTCCAAAGACCTGGATTGAAATTTGGCTGTGTCTCTTACTAGACGCCTAACTCTGGGCCAGTTACTGAACGCTTCTGAGCCAAAGCTTCTGGATCTGTAAATTGAAGCAATAATCCCAGCCTCACACGGTTATCATGAATGGTGAGACAGTGTATGTGAAGAAAGCTTGTAGCACAGTACTGGGCACACATGTTCAGTGAGGACTCGTTCAACTGAATTTCAGTGCTATGTACAGAGATATACAGATTAACAACACTCCAGTGCACATCATGAAATACCAATGCAAAACACAGTGTTTCATTTTCAGTCTGAACGGGAAACCAAATGCCCACACATATTATGCCTACAAGGTAAGTTTAGAGATTTAGAGAGAGCAAGGAGGGATACTACCCAAAGGCTTCTTAGCCAGTCATAAATGCTTCCATTCTAAAATAACAAGTGAAGTAAAATCCAACAAAAGACATGCCATAACATGCTAGTTAAGAACTGTGAATCGATTTAATTTAGAAACTACAGAGACATCATAAAACATTCTGCCAAATACTCTAAGAATCTGGGTGCAAATATACCCATGCAGCTTTATACTGTTTTAACTTATGAAGCTTTTACCTCCTTTAATCAGATATGAAAGAGTAAGCCTATTAAGAATGTACACTGTTCTAACTAATCCCACGGAGGATGGTTGTTCTCATCTATCTGTTTAAATTATATTCTTCTCTGAGGGATTTTCAGAAATTTATTACAATTTTGTTTTAGCATGGAAATCTTCTTAGGTCCTGTACTATATGAGTACTTTCTAACCAATCTAAAAAATCTTCTCCTTCCCCATCTAGGATAAAGCTGAGTTCAATTTCTATATAAGGCCCAACTTCATTAATTTTGTCCCATAAAAAGTTACAGTCTTGTTGTGTAATATAATCTTGATACATTAACAGCAACTATTAAATCTGTGATTAAAACTGCTGGTGGGAATGTGAATTGGTTCAGCCACTATGGAGAACAGTATGGAGGTTCCTTAAAAAACTACAAATAGAACTACCATACGACCCAGCAATCCCACTACTGGGCATATACCCTGAGGAAACCAAAATTCAAAAAGAGTCATGTACCAAAATGTTCATTGCAGCTCTATTTACAATAGCCTGGAGATGGAAACAACCTAAGTGCCCATCATCGGATGAATGGATAAAGAAGATGTGGCACATATATACAATGGAATATTACTCAGCCATAAAAAGAAACAAAATTGAGCTATTTGTAATTAGGTGGATAGACCTAGAGTCTGTCATACAGCGTGAAGCAAGTCAGAAAGAGAAGGACAAATGCCGTCTGCTAACACATATATATGGAATTTAAGAAAAAAAAATGTTATGAAGAACCTAGGGGTAAAACAGGAATAAAGACACAGACCTACTGGAGAACAGACTTGAGGATATGGGGAGGGGGAAGGGTGAGGTGTGTTAGGGCGAGAGAGAGACATGGACATATATATACTAACAAACGTAAGGTAGATAGCCAGTGGGAAGCAGCCGCATGGCACAGGGAAACCGGCTCGGTTCTTTGTGGCTGTCTGGAGGGGTGGGATAGGGAGGGTGGGAGGGAGGGAGACAAAGAGGGAAGAGATATGGGAACATATATATATGTATAACTGACTCACTCTGTTATAAAGCAGAAACTAACACACCATTGTAAAGCAATTATACCCCAACAAATATGTTAAAAAAAAAAAAACTAAGATAAAAATATAAGCAATGGAAAAAACTTAAAAAAAAAAAAAAGGAATCAAAAAAATCTCCCATATGAACTGAATC